CGAGATAGCTATTGAGTTTGTCGGTTAACCGAGTCAAATCCGAGTCCGAGTCAAATCCGAGCCCGAGTCAAATGTCCGAGTCATTGCATGTTTAATCGATGGTCTTTGTAGTTCAATGACTTAGTACCCTAATCGATCCTAACCCTAACCCCACTCCTAACTTACCCTAACCCTATTCAACTGTGAATGTTATTCAATTTCGGAGTTTGTCGGTGACTGACTGACTTAAATCCGAGTTCGAGTCAAATGTCCAAGTCACTGTTTAAGTTTAACTGTCTTTGTCGGTAAAATGACTTAGTACCACTGCTTAGTACCCTAACCCCAAACCTACTCCTAACCTTGTTCGACTGTGAATTTTCTTCACTTTTTTCGTCGTTTTTTTACGCGACTCGGGCGTTTGACTCGGGCTCGGGGCTGACTCTGACTATTTCTTCTAAGTGAAACCTCTTAGCCAGGCTTCCAATTTAAATGTTGAATGCACATGTTAAAATTTAGATAATTCATTTGCAAAATCAAATAAAATGTCTTATTATCAAAATTGGGCACTTTTTGTCGTCAGCTTAAAAATTCGGGCAAATTTATATATATATATATATATATATATATATATATATATATATATATATATATATATATATATATATATATATATATATATATATATATATATAAATATATAAATATATATATATATATATATTAGAGTGGGACAGGGCTTGAATTTTATCGCGGCAAAAGCCGTAGAGGTAGAACAAAATGCCGTGGATTATTGCGGCAACGACGGCAATTTTTTGCCGTATAGTGTAATTTTTGTGGTTAGCCCGTTCGCGGGCTAACCATTATGTACACGCTAAAAAGTTGTGAAGGTTGTGAAAGTTGTGAAGTTGTGACGGAGCGTGATCGACTTCACTTCGGAAACTGTCGTTAATGCCATGAGGTGATGATCTCTATGGCGATGATAATAATAAATGCACAGCCCACAAATAAGCGAATAAAACATCAATATTTCATCACAAATACAGGTAAGCCAATTATTTCCCATCTCTAGTCATTTGTTGTTGAAAATTTTCATTTATAATACTAATTAAAAACATCGCAATTTGGTCTGCTCTGCTCTGCTCTGGTCTGGTCAAAAATATTTGATCAGGCTCCATATTTTTGCGTACATAAATACATTCAAAAAGTTGAACGAAGCCATTGGTTGCATGCACTGATCTGAGGTCCACATATCAAATAGAAACTGAAATATAAAATCAAAACAAACTCGTCATTGCATGTGCAGTTAAACAAAACCAACCTTGCCATGTATTTGTGCAGGTATATTGTAAAGAGCAAACCCAGTTTGGGGATCCATATGCTACAAACAGGTGAACGATTTACAAACCACAACACAAAACAACCTTGACTGTTGTACTTGACTGAAAATATGGGTGTAGCGATTGAGATCTATCCTTCAAGAATTGGTTCACACCATAATTTTACAACAACAACAACAACAACAACAACAACAACAACAACAACAACAACAACAACAACAACAACAACAACAACAACAACAACAACAACAACAACAACGTACAACAACAACAACAACATATTTTTATTAATACTCAGAAATTACAAAAAGTTCAGAAATTACAGAATACATATGAATTACAAGAAGTGAGTATAGGCCACCTGCAATAACTATTAAGGAGCTAGACTAGGCAGGTGACCTTCAAATTAATATAACCGAAAAATAATACTGAATAACAAGAAGCAGCTAGTTCAAAGAATATTTACAAAATTTCAAAACAAAAAACAATACCAGTTACAATACAACATAATACAAAGAAAAAAAAGAAGAAAAAACACACTGAGCCAATAAATATAGATATATAAATAGATAATTTAAGGATAAATGAATTTAATTCTAGTAGAAGGCGATTAGCTGATTTTTAAATTCCTTTTTAAAGGAAAATTCAGTTAAGGATTTTAGTGATTCATCAATATTGTTCCATAACTTAGGTCCACAAAATCGAATATTAAATAAACCATAATTAGTGCGAATAAGTGGTAAGGAAAAAGTTGATCTAGATGCAACACGGGTACTATACAGATGCGTGTTACAAGTTGGATTAAAATATACATCAAAATTGACTGGGAGATTGCCTTTACTGTACTGAAACATAAATACGGCAGTATACAAGTCAACAATGTCAAAAAATTTTAAAAGATTGAGTTTTTTGAAAAGGAGTGAAGTATGTGCTTGAAAATCAGAAAAAGTAATAATACGTATAGCTTTCTTTTGTAAAACAATCAAAGGGTGTAAATTAGTTTTATAAGTATTTCCCCAAATCAAAATACCATATGTCAAAAAGGAATAAATAATTGAATAATACACTTGCAAAAGAATATGCGTAGAGACAAAATTACGGAGTTTTAATAAAACACCAATACCCCTAGAAATCTTTTTTGAAAGTTCGTGTACATGATCCTTCCAATTCAGGTGACGGTCAATAAAAACACCTAAATATTTCATGCTTTTCTTCTCTTTAATAACTTGATCATTAATTTTAAGACTAATAGAGATATCAGGAGTTTTTTGAGGTGGATAAAAAAGAACAAAATTAGATTTGTCAATATTTAGAGATAGCTTGTTAGCACAAAGCCACTCATTAACATTACATAATTGATTATTTACATTTGTCTCTAAATACTGAAGACTTTTATGACAACAGAAAAGATTAGAATCATCAGCAAACAAATGAAAATCTATTTCACTTGCACAATTATTGAAATCATTTATATATAATAAAAACAATAATGGTCCAAGTACAGATCCCTGAGGGACACCACAGGTAATAAATTCGTAATCAGATGTCGCAGTGCCAATCTTAACAAATTGTTTCCTATTTGAAAGATAGGAACAAAACCAATCTTTTACTATTCCTCTAATTCCATAATTTTCAAGTTTTTTTAACAAAATGGTATGATTAACAGTGTCAAAAGCTTTACTTAGGTCTAGAAAAATACCACATGAATAAAGTTTGTTTTCAATTGCTTTTTGAATTTTATCGGTAATGAGCAAAATTGCGTGAGTTGTTGATAAATTAGAACGAAAACCAAACTGTCCATCAAACAAAACTTGGTTTTGTTCAAGAAACTTTATCAATCTTTTGTACATTAGTTTTTCTAAAATTTTATTAAAAATTGAAAGCAAAGAGATAGGTCGATAATTTGAGACATTATGTTTAGGCCCTTTCTTATATACTGGTATAACTCCTGCTATTTTCATCCTATCAGGTACAACACCGGATGAGAATGAACAATTGAAAAGGTATGCCAGTGGGCGTGACAAAAGAAATTTGAGGATCTTTAATAGTTTCGTGGGGATGCTAAAAGGTCCAATTGACTTGGAAGGATTAAGTTTGTTAATTTCATCTTCAATTTCAGTAGCAGTTGTAGGGAAAAGTACAAAACTATGGCAAAGTGAAGGACTTAAAAAAGATTCAAACTAGGTTTCCACTGTAGCTATAGATTTGGCAAGATCAGTGCCGATAGTTGAAAAATAATTATTAAAAGCATTAGAAATAGTTTGTGAGCTTGATAATTCTAAATTTCCAACCTTCAACGTTGTAGGGAAAGAACGATTTGATGGTCCAAGTGTTATTGTCTGCTTGATACCCCTCCATGTCTCTTTAATATTATTTCTGTTAGTTGTAAAATAATCATTATAATATGATTTTTTACTTAGGAGAATTAGGTGTTTTATTTTATTCCTGTATATTTTGAATTTAGAAAAATAATAGTTGTCTTTTGTCCTTAAATATAGTTTATAGAGTCTATTCTTAATTTGTATAGAGGCCCTAATGCCGTTTGTAATCCATGGTTTGGCTAACAAACGCACCTGTTTCTTAGAAAGTCGCCTTAAAGGGACATGATTATCAATAGTCTCAGATATTTTAGCATGAAAGGACTCAAAAATAAGATTTACATCTTCAGACACAGGTAAAACATCCTCCCAATCAATTTGCTGGACATCATGCACAAGATTATTCTCATTAAAATTAGAATAATCTCGACGGTATATGATTGGTGTAAAAGAAGAAAAGGTAAGCTTATTAATTATGAGAAAATTTGGAAGATGATCTGATATATCACACAGCAAATTTCCACTAATAGAGTAATGCTCAATAGAATTAAAGAAAATATTGTCAATTAGAGTAGCTGAATGATCAGTAATTCTGGTGGGCTGAAGTATGTGTGGTTGAAAGCAAAAAACTCCTAAATTATTAATAAATTCATCTGTTGGAGTATGAGATTCGTAATTCAGTAAATTGATATTAAAATCTCCCATTAAAATACAGTATTTTCCTTCGTTTGAAATTTTATGCATAGCTTGTGTTAAGTGATTAGTAAAATTTTCCAGATTACTATGAGGATGTCTGTAAATTACAGAGCATACCATATTTCTGTGAAACTCGCTGTGGATTTCAATCCACAAACTTTCAAAATCAACTGTAGATAAACTTAAATCATCTCTAGAATGAAATTCACAATCATCTCTAATATACATACCTACACCACCAGCATTTTGATGACTTGGTTGGGAAATGAAAATATATTCCTTACTGGTCAATATTTTAGTTTCAGAAATACCAACAATATGGAATTTATGTTTTAGATCACATAATAAGGTAGTCAATTTATCATGATTAGCAGATAAGCTTCTTACATTGGAATGTAAAACAGAGAAAGAACTATTATTTGAAAATAATTGACCTATACTATCATTATTTTTAAAATTTGGTATAGAATAATAATTAAAATCAACTTGATATGAAAAATTATTATCGACATCTGGCCCAGATAAATTGGGCATGTTTGTTAAACTGGAAATTAGATTTAGTCTAGGTAGTGAATCTAGATAATTTTCAGTCATGGTTACTCATATCAAGTTGAAAAAATATAGTATAAATATGGTATATATCTAGTAGCCAAAATATAGTTAATCAAACTTATCTTGATAAAGCCTCCAAATCTTGTGTAGACGAAATAACGTGTGCTGGGAGGTCTTTATTTTTCCTGAGGTAAATACGTCCCGATTGTGTCCAGATATACCTGAAACTGTGATCTCTCTTAAATTTTAGACAGTCCTTGAATAGTGATTTGTTTCTTGGACTCAAACTCTCTGAGATGAAAATATTATTAACTGACAGTCTAGAGAGACCGATATCCTTGGTTGATTTATCTTTCAAATATTTACGACCTTGATAGAACTGTTCTTTAACTGACCGTCTCACAAATTTAACAATGATTCTAGGAAATCGATTGGCAGAGTTGACTCCAGTAGAACCCCCTTCTCTTGGTCTTAACCTTGAGCTGTAGGTTTCATTTTGAGCTTTATGCGGCAGTCGGTGGCTGATTGAAATATCTTTTTCGTCAATGTGTACTCCCATCAAGGAACCAACCTTGATCGTTAAAGCATTAGTGTCCTCATCTGGCTCGACTGGTAAGCCTGCGATTTCCACGCAGTCACGTCGGGAATACTGCTGAAAATTATTTATTTCTTCATCGTGCTGTCTAATGATATTGGAGAGTCTCAGTACCTCCATCTTCAAACATTTATTTTCCTTAACATTTGCATCGCATTTTACTTCAAGCTTTTCAACTTTCTTAATCGTCGAGTCGAATTTATCACCTAGGAACTTCACACTTTTCTTAAGGTCACCATTATTGACATCATTTGGTCAATCGGTTTCAGCTTTTCGGCAAGCTTTTTATCTAAAATCTCCTCAAGTATGGTTTTTGTGATTACAGTATCTTGACTCATTTTTTACGAAAACGAAATAGACACGAAAAACAACAGAAATAGTTAGAAAAAACAAACAAAATAGACAAGATATTATAAGTTTAGCGGAGCTCTGAAACTTGCCGCCATCTTGTTGTTCGTGCCGATGCTGTCACAGCTTGATGTCACACCACAGTTTTCTAGAAAACAGTTTAGCTGCGTTCTTCTAGATGTCAGGGTTTCTTCTACCGTTTCGTCGCTTCATGTTGTACTGCTGCTTGTCGGCTCTTCTGGAACAAACATACTGGCACTGTGATCTCTTTCCTCAATGGATAAGTTGAGAAATGAATCACACAAATCTAATACATCCTGTGGACATTTCTGTATTGAAAAAAAAAAGACTAATATTATTGATTAGCGGTCATTCGTGCATGGCACTAGTGCGTGAATACCACTCTGTCTATTCCATGAAGTGTCGTCCCACAAAGTGTTCGGTGCATCTAGTGGCGTTTAGTAGGTCATATTCGTATAGTACCTGTTGCTCATGGATGTCTTCGCATTCTGACGTTAACGGGCGATCTTGACTCTCTTGGACGTCACCTTCTTACGCGACAGGTGTTTCGACTGCCGACGGACTGCTCTGCTCTTTTGCTCTCAGCTGTCAGGCGTTTGCGATATGTTGTACCAATACCTTTGCAAAACGAAGAAAAATGTTAACTAGAAAAAACTCATGACATATATTTTTCGATTCCGATTGCATGTCCTTGCTTACCAGATCCTACTGGAACAAGCACATGAGTAAGGTTCAGTAGCTTCTCTGATTGTTCCTTCGTTATTGGCCGTTCTGCTTTAACACTCCCGTGTACTGCCCAGCTTGCGGGACAGACACAATTTCTGCGGTTGCACCGCCAGCGAATTCCATGGCTATCGCGATGCCGAGGACAAATAGTAATGTTGCCGTGATTTTCTTCAGGACCAAAGAGACCTACATGTATACAAGGACATGTGGCATATGCATTGTGGTTGCTCTCTATCTTAGCCAGGGTCACAATTCAATTGACAAGCATTGTATATGAAAATACAGTCCAGTATATTCTGTAATTCTGTTGATAGCCAACACATGGTAGGGTATAATCGAAACATACCTGCACGTGCGAGTAATAGACTGGCCTCAGAAGTGATTGATGGGTCTCCAACTTTCAAGAACCCCAAATAATCCCGTATATCCTTACTACAGTCGGCAATTCTGAGACATTGCCTTGTATGTGGGCTCTGCTGACTCCCGCCGCAAGGCCCGCCAACGTACCTGGCGTAGCCACATTCCATGGCGTTCACGTGCGTGCATTCAAACGCTGATATGGAGCTTAAAAATCTCCGCTTCAATAAACTGTACAAATGAAACTTGATTGTGTGACCCTATA